GGGAGGGGGCTTACCATTGGTCTCGACGTGGGCGAAGGCGCAGAATGGCCCCCGTGGGCAGTAACCGGTCTGTTGTATATCGTTACACTTGGTGGATTTATAAATCTCCGGGTGAAACTGTTGCTCCGTACGCGTGTGACAGTACGGACAGTTGTCCTGTGAGTCACAGTTGGTGGGGTCGCCCCATTCGTCGCCCTGTTTCACGTTCGGACAGGGAGTGGAACGGTATTTATACTTCTTGGGCGATCGCCGGCGGTCCTTGTTGTTGTGGAATTGCGGACACGCGTACCTAATAATACAGGTGCATAAATAATAAATCAGGTGCGTTCATAAATAAATAATCATAGTAACTTATGACGAACAGATTAGTGCAAATAAAAATCGGGAATTAATTAATGTAAGTCAACTTCATTTAATTATTAAGCTAACATTTTAATTAACTAGTTTTAAATAATTAAAGATACTAGCTTAAGGGCTATGGATGGGTGGGGGGGGGGAGAAAGGGGAAGTTACACTTGGTAAACAATACTAACCCTTGTCGACACAGTCGCGGTGGCCGTTTGCACACCTCGGTCTTATAATTAGCCAGCACGTAGGCGGTGTCCTGCCACCGGGGGTCCTCATTCAGGGCGTTGCGCTCCTTATCCAACGAGTTGGGCAGCGAACCGGGCCCTCCATTGCCGTTCCCGTTGTCCATATCGAGCCCGCCCTGCAGGCCCTGATTGCCCAGCCCTCCGAGCCCGAGCCCAACGCCGCCGCCTCCACCCCCTCCGCCGCCGCAACCGCTTTCCATGGCCTGCAGTTCGCGTATGTCGTACACAGGGTTGCGCAGGTCGTGCAGGCCGTGGGCGAAGGCGCAGTGCGGCCCGTTTTTCACGCAATACCCGCGGGTGTCCGTGTCGTACACGCAGATACCCGTCTTGTAGTAGCGTAAGTGGTACCGGCGTTCGGTGTCGCCCGCCGTTCGGTGCAGATATGGACACCTGTTTTTTTAACAGTGATTATAATTAGGTTTGTGTTATTTAGGCGGCAGTTATCGGTTAGTTTATGTGGTATAGGGGTCCGGGGTATGGGTGTTAGTGGTAGGGTATACACGTATGTTGTGTGATGTGTGCTTTCACTCTGGGTAAATGCTCTCTCTCTCTCTCTCTCTCTCTCTCTCTCTGCTATGAAAATAATTCAACATTAAAATCCTATTTACAATTTGAACAATAACTACAGTAAACATAAAAAAATATAAATCTGTTTTTATGGCATCGATTAAAAAACTATTTGCTTTTAAAATGCTATAAAACATTAAAGTGGATTAAATTTTCTATCACGAGTTACATAACAATAGGGTAAAAAATATTATATGTAAACATCATGAACAGAAAATAACTTAAACAATATGGTAAAAATTTTTATTACATAACAATCTCTCTCTCTCTCTCTCTCTCTCTCTGTAATTCACTCACGAATATATTCACACTCATTATAATTAACCAAATGAGTACACTATACAGTACAGCACAAGTTCATTAAAACTACAATACACTGCAATATAACGGGAGATATGAATTATGCAATAAATTAAATTAAAAACTAACTTAACTTTTGTTAATAAAATGTATGTTTTTCTTAAGTGCTTAATTAATTTTTTGAATTATCTGTTCAACTATTAGTCAATTAAAGTACACTTAAACCCCTATTACTAAAATCTATTTGGTGGGGACCCGAGGGCTCCATTAAAAGGTGTTACACCTATTAGCAAGTGTACAAGTAATGGAGCATTTGTTAGGAGGGTTAGAGAGTTGAGGGGTGAGTAAATCACTAATTATCAAGGTCATAGTGAGTTCTAGGATTATGTAATTAGCACTAATAACTGTAATAGTGGTCACAAATAGGTTAGCTATAATGTGTGCGATGGTCTAATCTCGGGGGTCATTATAAAGGGGTCCAAACTGTACACTCTTACTCATACACAATGTGGTTGACACAAGTGTCACAACAATTAGTCCCCGAAACACACATCACACACAATATTGTGACATAAGAGGAGTGTTTAGTGTGATAAGAGAGGGGGGGGGGAGTGTTGTGGTGAATGGGTAGTGTGGCCAACTCACTCGTCACCCTCCGGGCAAACACCGGTGGTCTCATCATATTTGGTACAGTAGACATCGGGCGAGTAATTGAAAGTGCCGTCCCGTTTCCTGATTGGTCGCCGCCGTCGCTGATTGCAAAAGTGCCAATAGAAACACGTGAACGGCTTGTGTTGGGTGCACTTGTGTTGCAAAAACAGCGGACACTGTTCGCACCGGAACTCCTTTAAATACCTGCGATGGGGTGAGATAGGGTGACCAGATTGAGAGCAAAAAAATTAATAGATTGTCATTTAAATATTATAAAATGGTAAATAAATAAAAAATAAAATTAATAAATAATATACATGTGTGTGTACAGGCACGACAAAAATCAATAAATTATTATTTTTCGCTCCCATAGGCCTAACGTGTTGTGCTGTTGTTGTTATTGTTGTTGATTTTGGTTACATGCACATACAAAAATGACATGCACCCCCTATTTACTAGCCTAATGCACAGTACTGTACAATACAGTGTGCGCCCCCTTTAAGTTACATCGATGACAATGTCACCAAGGTTAAATAGTTAATCACGTTAACAACAACACATAAAAACACAAACTAATGATCAAGGTAGTGCGCTACCAAAACAAACACTCCAAACAACAACAATCATTAGGCCTATTCGTCACTCAAAACAATAAATGACATGCCATTGGCACTAACATTACCTGGACGCATCGACTATTTTCTCACTATTAATGACAATTTAAAATTTTGATAAATAAATCACCTAGGCACATTAATTTGGTAAAAAAAATTGTCGTGTACACTTACTGATAGTGCAATGGTTTCTCAGTCTGCGTGGTCAATTGTCCCTGTTGCTGTTGCGACAACTGCTGGGCGGCGGCCACTGCCGCGGCGGTGGCAACACTACTGGCGGTGGGGGCCGTCGGGGCGGGACCTCCGGGACCACCACCTGGTTGCACTGTGGGTGCCG